ATACAACGTAATTTCATCTCTCGTTACGAAAGAGAAATGATATTTCGCGCCAATATATATATATATTTAAAACACCGATCGATCTTGAAATTTTGTAATTTCAGAAATTTCCCGATGATCTACGATTCTACGAATCTTGGAGTAAAAAAATAATTTAGACACGGATTTGAAAATCTTTTTCAGATTAGTAGATGCAGAAAGTAGAAAAGACAGGTGATATGATAACGTGAGAATTAGAGTTAACGGTGAATAAGTTTCATCGTAAGGTGAATCTTCTTTTCATTTTACCGTATGTTTATTACACGACGTTACTCGCGAAGGCACGGTATCAAGGCCTGTCTAGCTGAATGACTGGTGTGAAACTGCTCGGAAAGACTCATCTCCCTTGGAACATTTTCCATTTTGTGGAAACTCATTTAAAGCCACGTTATAATCTGCACTCCATACGTGACACACATTTTTGAAATAATACAAATAAGAAGTGCCTGCGGCTGCGCTTTTTAATACTGCTCCGGCATTACGTAGAAAATATTACACGAAATGAAAGATATATATTTTCAACATTTTATAAGCGACATACATATATATATATTTAAATTAATTAATGCGTTGTAAAAAGATTAAGGACGAAAGACTAATCCGAGAATTTCGAAAATTATAATCAATTAACATAAGAAGGAAAATTTCTTGAAAGTGAACTCTTAAAATATCAATTGCACATCTCGTTTCGGTTCGACCCCATCGGCACGGTAATTTGCTGAAATTCGTCGACTTAACAACACCCATTATTACACGTTCTAAAACGACCGCCATTGTTAGACAATAATCGTAGATCCTTCGTCATGAAGATGACGATTCTCTTTACGAGGACTGTTCGAAAATAATCCCCGAATCCCCATAGCCTGAAAATGACTGAGATACGAAGATCGTGAAAACGACACGATGGTAGTAAATGATCAGCTGGATCACCCCCATGGGTGCAACGAGGTGAACGAGGGACTCTGCTCTGACGTGCGAATGAATTTCACGAAGCTTGCACGTCGACATATCGGCGCCATTATCGCGACGATTGTTCACGCGATTATGCCAGTTAAATACTACAAGGTGTCGTTCCACGTTCCATTTCGAACGAAAACTTGCAAGTGGCAAGCGTTTGAAACAAACGAAGAAGAAGTAATATATATTTTTTTTCCCACAAATGAGAATGAAAAAATTCGATCTCGAACGAAAGAGAACTGAAAAATTGAAAGTAACGTACCGACCGATAGATAAGAGATCCCAGGTTCAAATTTCTTCTCTCGAATTTTTGGTGGAACATGGTCCGCTGGATTCCAGGGATTCTGATATTTGCGGAATTGAAAAAGTTCGTAGCGACGCGACATCCCGTGAGATCCTTAAGAGCTATCGTATCAACTTCTTATCTCGTGCGATTAATCTCGAAGAATAGCACCGTGCTCGTGGAGCATCCAACGAACGCTATTCGTACGTTCAGGTTTTAAGGCCTCCTTCACACGGCAACATGCTCGTAACATACCGTGTTCTTGACTAATAATAACGCTTATTAATTATCACTTAGTCCGACAAATTCGAGAAACGAACGATTTATTTCCGAGTCACGAAAAAAATTTATCAAATCTATCAACGAGTTATCTTAAGAGATTAATATTCGAGAGAAACAGGCGAGAAATCGAGAGGTGGATAATTTTGATAAGTTTTAACGAAGCGAAACATTACGTTCGCACGTTCTTCTCCAATTCGAACTTGTTCGCCTTTTCCACCGGTGATCACGGACGGAGGAGAAAAAGTCAACAATCGTGGCGTTTTAATCCGAAGGGTCGAGTCGAGAGAGAGAGAAAAAGAAAGACAGAAGAAGAAGGAGAGAAAAGGAGAAAAGCTGAAGGGAAAAACGGGGACGTGGCGCGTGGAAATTCAAGATCTCTCACGTAATCCTCGAAGTCGTACACCGTTTTCGGAAGCTGCACAAAAGGACAAGGTCGGGGGGGGGGGGGGGGGCGACTTCTCCTAGTAAACGGGCCAACAAAAGAGCAGAAACGAAAGGGGGAAAAAAGAAAGGGGAAACAAATAGGAGGGGAGGGGAAAGGAAAAGGAAGTGGAACGAGCAGCGAGCCGTGGTAATTGGGCGAACAGTCGGTAAGTAATTTCAGGAACGTGACCAGACGATGGAAAGGCGGTCGCCGGAATGGAAATCGATGCCAACACCGGATAGTTTACCGTGAAAGCCTAATTTCCTGGAGAGACGATCCTCGCGCTATCAACCATACCCCGCTATTTCTCCCGCTCTGAAACCATTTCGACGAATTTCGATCATTAGAAGTAAATATAATGGATGGATTTTTATACGTTTCGTTTTTATGATTTTTGATTTTCTGATTCTAAGGTATTCTACCTTAAAACTAGCGTTAGATTATAAGCGAACTTGACGCATTGTTACGTAAAATGACGCAAAGTCACAAGTGAGACTTGCATTTCAACTTTTCGTGCAAAAAAACGTGTGAAAAACCACAAAGTGTATCGCCCATTCGCAGAAAATAGAGGAAACTGTACCATTAAAATTATACTTTTTATTTTATCCCGATATCTCGATTGGTTGCTGAGATATAAGGATTTAAAGTCTCCATGGTACTTAGAGAAATAAGCCTGTGGCCCAATGACCTATATTCTTTCTAGAAATCGCAGGATAGTGAGAATCGAGGCGCGAACGAGAGATCCGAGAGAAACGAGGATAAAGATAATAAATAATTGAAAAATTATGCTTTACGATATCTGGAAATCGTATAATCGGGATAAGCGATATTCAAAGATTAAGATCTAACATTAAGATCGTTCATTCAAAAATAATTATCTTCTGGCTTATGGTTTAAAGTTTTTCAAATTTTCACTAAATTCAATCAGATTTAAAAAAAATCATCGTTCTTTTCTTTACATCTTAAGAATTAAAAGTAATAAATGAAAAAGTGCCGTTTTAAAGTGCCTCCTCTAATAGCTGTTCATCCATCGATCGAAAATCACCATCTTCTTATATTTAAATTTTCCCCTCTTTTGATCGAGTTTTAAATAAAAAAAAAATCTCTGAACATAAAAATGGAATATAATTTTTGGAAAATTATACGAAAAATTGTCTTGTCGAGACTTTTCTGTACTGAATTCGCGATATATTTCTGCTTGTTGAACGATTTCGATTCGTCGACATTCACGTAATCGGGTTAAAAAATGCAGTGCGCGATGCACGAACGATACAAATAAGAGTATAGTCATTGATAAGCGTCTTCTTGTCGTGCGATTGACTGTTATCGATTCGCCATCGAGAAAATCCAAGTTCAATTTTCGCGAGCACTCAACCACGCTAAAAGAGGAATTTCAACAATCTGCAGCGATCGGTACTGCCTGTGTATACGCGCCATTTTATCGATCTTGCGCTAAGAAATCCATCGATAAAAAGTACGTGTATTTATACCGAAGTTAAAAATTCGGCAAGTGAAACGAGTCGAGCTATACGCAGCCCACCAAGACCCATGTCGACAATCTTCTTTCCTATTAAACGTGTTAAAGAATTAACGAGTATAACGATTAGATAACAACAATTAGAAACAAATTTAAACGTCAAATTGCCAAAGGAAACGATATTTTCGTACGATCTAATAATAAGAGAGCGAAATTGGAGCGTTGAGACGTTGCTTAAAGAGAGATTTTCGGATTCTCGATTTCACGGATTCGCCGCAAAAATTCGTCTTCAATTTTCGAAATTGTTCGAGGACGGTGTATTCCGCAAAACCTGGTGTATCTATCGCAAAGCGTAGAGATGGTGAACGGAACACTTTGAGGTCAAAGAGAATCGGTAGAGAGAGAGGGGGGGGGGGAGAGGAGACACATTCAGGTGGCGAATAGATGAACGCGATCGCTCCAACCGTCCTGATGCGGCTAGTACATACTGCGCCGCTATTTCGAGAATTCCAATTTTGATACCGGAAAACCGGACGTGGATTGTACACGCGTTGATTGAACGAATGCCGCTTAGACAGCCGCGACGATGACAAACTTGTTCCACCGATTCCCCCTCCGCTCTCTCTCTCTTTCTCTCCCTCTTTCTCTCTCTATTTCCACCGAATCTGTTTCGTTGCAATAATTCGCGCTACGTCGTGCAATTCGGCTAGATTTTCTCGAGAGCTGACTTCAAGCTATTACCCCTTTCGAAGGATTAAGCTGAGGCGAAATAAAGGTTTAATTTAAAATGGATTAACGTGGAAAGGAACATCGCCACGAACAAATTAGAAAGAAGCGCGGAATTTTTTTGACGGCACTGTTGCCTTCTCGATTCTTAATTATTAAAAGTTACAAAAGTTACGAAAAAATTATTAACACGTTATTAATGTTGCTAATGTTATAGAGAATTCAGATTGTAACAATGAACAAAAAAAAAAAAGAGAGTGGATTAGAAAGTTAGTTTTTGATCGAATCGAATCAGTCAGATTCTCAATTTTATCACTTATTTGAAAGAGCGTTTAAATTATTTCCTGGAGCCGTTACTTAACCATGAAAGAGCAATCAACGGTTCCTAAAATAATATTGCCACTCGTCCACACCGTTCGTTCGTTCGTACGAATGCTTGCAAATGCTCGTAAAAATTCAAAACGAGCCTATAAAAATTTATCACTCGTGCTCTTTAATATCCCGAGACGACAGACGAACAGTTTATAATTTAATAAAGAATCTAGCACTTGAACGAACAGAACAAAGGTTGAGCTGTAAAAAGAGACCGTTAAAAGCATCAACCGTTATCATAAGAAGTTAATACTATCTCTTCCACCGCTATACTAAGTTAACGCTACATTTACGCCACGCAACAACGAAGAAACGTCGTATTTTCCATATTTATGATCGTCTATCGTGTCCAATAATCTATATCCCACTTGGAATTGTCTCGTAAATTACGAATCCGTAATTCCATCCGTAATTAAACCAAATGAAAAAAAAAAAAAAAAACGAAAATTCGTCCGATCAGAGAATCTGTCCGGATCCCAGCGTTCGTACGAACATTGTTTTCGGATTATTGGATATATCGCGAGACAGAAGAGGTCGGAGGATAAAAATCTGCTGGCCCGTCCAACCTTGTATTTGGATCCAGAGAGAGTTATAGTCCTTTCGATCAATCTATTCGAGACATCCCCTTTATGCGGATTCTGGATAGTCGACAGATCCCAGATTAATGTCGTTGGGGCTGTACTGGACATACTGAAGGCAGTTAGATAGCGAATGGTAGTGTATATATATATATATAGAGAGAGAGAGAGGGTGAAGGGTGCGGATTGTTGTATATATAGAGCAGGGATGGAAAGAGAGTGGGTGAGAAACAGCAGCCTTTGTGTGCTCCGATCGCTCGAAAGATTAGAAAGAAATGAAAGCGGCTCAAGTGTTCAGGACAGCTTAATGTTGGTACAAACGATACGACGGTTTACTTATTTGTACCCGAAGATCGATCAACGCCCCCGAACGCTTTTTACGATCGTCCTCCCGGAAAATGCCTCTTTCCTTCTCTTTTCGTGAATGTGTGATGCTTTCGATGGAAAAGGAACCTGCGGGCCAACTCTCGATGCTCGTTCAATCGATATCCCATTAGGAAAAAAGGTTGAAGTATCGCGTGATGCTTCAACAAACAGATTTGCTTCTTTTTCTTTTTTTTTTTTTTCTCGAATTATTATTCAATTCAGTCGGCGGCACTTTTATTACACTCGTATTAAATATCTCGCGTCATTAAACGTCATTAAATACCGTATGATGGAAGTTTAATTCAATCCCCAAAGACACGTGCGCGAACTAAGAAGTGACAGTTCTCCTCCTCGGCCAACTCCGTACAAAACTTTGGCCAACTTTGCGTTTAAAGATCTAAACCAGTTTTGAAGCGAGCGATCCAGTTTTCAACCGAGCGAGAGATCATCTTATATCCATCCCGACGTTTTTATTCCTAGATTTAGTTAGGGGAGGGAAACGGGGAGGGCGCGAAAAGTTGGGATCGGTACACGATCTCCCAAAGGCAATATCGCAATGAAATCTGGTTTAGCCCCTGCTCCACCTAGGGGGACTAGCATGTCCCCTCGTGGTTTATCCTTGAACCCATCGTAATTCCCCTTCCAACCACTCGAAACCACGATATACACGTTACGCGCGTAACGCAAATTCATGTCGTCGGGATATTCTCCGTCAAATTAGGATGGACCATGATGCATACATTATGGAAAGCAACGTGGCTCCCACTTGGATCATCTCGACAATACGCCCGGATGAAATTCGCGACAAAATTGACCCTCAGCCCTTTCTTCCTTTCTCTCCTCGCAAAGAGTTTTCGTTGTCTTTCGAACGTTTTTTATTTATATTTATTATTCGTGTTCGATTCGAAACGAAAATGTATTTGTATTTAGAATCGTAGATAGAATAGAACGTAGACGAGAAGTCTTTATCGTTTGAATATATTCCGATTTTCTTCGACTACAAGAAAGAACGAAGGTGGAGATGCAAAGATTGTTTAAAATACATGAATATTAATGAATGTTTCCTGCTACGAAGAAACGTAAGAAGAAAGATGCTCGAGGAATTTGTAGCGTTCATCTTGTTGAAAATAAAAAAGAAAAAAAATACAATTGAATATGAATGGTTGACGACGATTATTCGAACTAATTCGAATTCACGATATTTTTTGGTGTTCCTCGAGGAATAGTTGCGAATACGTGAGATTATTTTATTAAGTAACAGGCGATAAGGAATAAGAATTCAAGATTTTTCGTGATAGAGAAGAATTACTTGTGCGACAAGTATATTTTTAAAGTGAAGAATTCGAAATGTGTGCGAATACAGCAATTGATTTGTACATATGAAATTCAAAGAAACGGGAGAACATACGTGGAAGAAACGTTATACGCTCGTACTAATTTCAACTCATCTCCTCCTCCGTGCGCTGTAAATCTCGTTAGACTTCAATTATGGCCAAAGTTTCGAGATATGAAACAGGCATTAGGAGAAGTAGCTTGCTAATTGCATCTAGATACTGTCTACTTCATACACGAACTGTTTCCAGAAGATTGATGAATGATCCTTGGTGATAACTACACACCTACGATTCAGAACTTAGTATTAAATTCAACTTGTACCGTAATTAGATTGTCATTTAGATTGATCAGTTGATAGATGCTGAAATCTAAAAAAAAAAAATTCTCTCACATATGTCATCGAATGTCAATGTGCCAAAATTTAAACGTAAATAAAATAATTCGAAAGATTGTTTCCTCGTTTCTTCAATTTATCGAGTGGTTCAGATTCGAGGATAGGATTTTTGCCTTTCTTAAAAGGATAACAAACTTACAATTTTATATCAAGATACATTCCTCGGATGAAACTTCAAAAAAAAAAAAAAAAAAGACACGATTATTCGCGACACATCGCATTTAAATTATTCACCCTACTTTCGTGCAGATCAGGGAAACATCTGGAAACAACGGCAGCTAAAAGTTAAACTAAGACCGATGACGGAACCAAAAGTTCAGTTCGCCGTATATATAGGGGCGAACCGCACGAATCTCGTACAGTCTTTCAACATCCGCAGAGATATCGGCTGGTGACACATTTCCTCTTCAGAAGCGGATCGACAAGTGAAAAGCCACGGCGAATATTAATCCCGTTTTCTTGGTCGACATATCCCGGTCACCACTTCCCCCGATATACTCTGCAAATATTCCCGATCCCTTCGCCGACCTTCGTGTGTTATTGCAGTCACGTTAGGGAGAGAAGGTTACCAATAAAAAGGCGACGTTTCACGCCCTGGGCGGCGGATATAAAATCCGCCGACTTTTGTGGACTAAGGGAACGCGAATTTGACGATCTCCTCCCCTCTTTCTGAACGGTTTTCCGCGTTATCGCCTCCGTGATATTAAATTTTTAGGAGGAATCCTCGTGTAAGAGTTGTGCGTTTGCAATAATGGAATGGGTATATTTTCCGTCGAGAATCGTACGTTTATATTGTCGTGCAAGGAAGCATAAGTTAGACACAGTTAATTTCGCTTTGATTAAATTGTAATTTAACCGTGAAACTTTGCCCTCCTCCCCCCCCCCCCCGACGGGTTACTTTGTACTAACCGTGTTCCCGAAATCGAATTAAGCGAGCCGATATCAATTAACCGGATCCAATTCACCTCTTCAAAACGAAAAAGGAAGAGGGAGGAGTATTGTTCGTTTATAATATAAAGGGAAATTGGCGGTGAAGCGAAACACTGGCTGCGAGATGAAAGAGGAATATTTTAAGATTCGTTGAAAGAACGAACGGAATGACAGGTGGAGATAGAAAGGGAGATATCGGGGTTGGGAAGATGGTCGCGGTTGGTCCGCGGAAAATGGTATTAATCAAATGAAGCGGTTTCTGTTACAAGCGAGGCGAAGATGGGTCTGAGCTGTCTGGCCATACCCGGGGGATAATCAATCTGGAGAATTAGATCAGATAGCTGGTACGTGAGCCAACTCCGTCTCCTTAGATTTATCCAGTCGCCAAGAAGCTTGATAGAGTACGTTGCGCAACTTCGATATCGAATGAATTCTATGCTTTTGGATATCTGACGAGCGCAATCGATAAAAATGATCATCGTTCTGTCGATACGTTTCGAGATTATTTTACATGCCATTTATTTAATTTTCTATCTTTTAAGTAAAATTACAATTTTGATTTGAATGTAACATTCATTTCTTTTTTTTTCAATGAAATTTAAAATGTAAAAATAAATGCAAAAAAAAATATATCTGAGCGAAATTATAATTGTTGTACATTAGTTTTTATCTTATATTTTCGGAAGATTCTTTATATTAAAATTTCGAATCGAAAAGAAACGCGGCATCGAGAGAGTCTAGATCGCTGTATATTTTAAGAATGAGTAATAACATAAGATAATGTTTCTTCTTTCCCTTATTTTCACACAACCTCTTTTAGATGTGATATACGAGGATAGCTTGGTGCACCACTTTCAAACCTGTGCCCTGTTTTCATCCTACGTACGCAGTGAAAATAGAAAAATTCACCTATTCACGGAACATGCTCTCGTAAAACGGTTCTTCTTCTCCATTTTCTCTCTACAAAGTACTTGTAGAAAAACGAATCTTTCGTCTTGTAAGAATTCACGCATCTAACTTCGCGAATCCCATAAGAATCATTTCTGGCTTCTAGCGAGGAATTGCATTGTTCATTCATAATAAAAAAAAAATATCATTTAATAAATAATTTAAGCAAGCATTGATTTGAATTACAAAAAGAATTTTCTCTCTCTCTCTCTCTCTCTCTCTCTCTTATATATATATATATATATATATATATATATATATATATATATATATATATATA